TTCTTTTTATTAAGCTGGGGCTACATTATCAGACGTAATTTGCCATGCCATTTTTATTGCTGTTGTGTGCCGTCGAGTTGACTGTAACTCATAGAGACCCTATAGGATGGAGGAGAACTGCCCCACAGGGTTTCCTGTAGTTTTTTACAGGAGCGAATCTCCAGTCTTTTTGCCCTCAGAACTGCTGCTGGGTTCAAACTGCCTTCTTTTCAGTTAGCAGCCAAGAGCTTAACTCTTGCACCACCAGGGTTCCTCGACATATTTATAAACTTAATTTAATTGACCTTTCATTTATCATAAATGCCTATGGGCATATTCCTAAGACTACTGACTTTATTATTAAACATTAATAGATCTCACCACTCTTTTCTCAAGCTCAAATTGTAGATGATTGGGAATTGAGCCAAGAAGATTTAATGAAATTCTACTGTATTTTAAATCATGATTATTAAGGCAGAACAGGTGACAGCCTGACCCTGATAATTGTTAAGAATACTGGGTGTGTTAAGAGACACGTTATGTGGACATGATCCACTTTCCCTAGAAGAAATATTTCAAGACAATAGTCTTTAAAAACGAGGATCAGTTTTCTGAAATACTGGTTCAAAAGTATGTGAATTGTGTCTGTCACATCACAATATAACTTCAAATGAAAGTTTCTTTTTTCTTTTTTTTGTTGGCTACCTTCAGTGAAAATAAAATCTCTTAGTATATAATCTTGGTTTGACATCCTTGGACCTTAGTTTCCTCACGAGAGGGGAGAGGTAGACTAGATCATCCTTACTGGTTTTTCTAGCTTAATCTTATTACACTAGTTTATACTTAAGTATAAACAAAAAAACCCATTGAGGTTCAGTTGATTCCGACTCATAGAGACCCTATAGGACAGAGTAGAACTTCGCCATAAAGTTTCCAATGAGCGGCTGATGGATTCAAACTGCTGACCTTTTGGATAGCAGCCGAGCTCTTAACCACTGTACCACCAGGGCTCCATACTAAAGTATACAGATCACATATACACAGTTAGGATGATGATTTTCTCATACAAAGTTTCTGGTTCCACTCCAGTACACACCAGATGTGTGTGTGTGTGTGTGTGTGTGTGTGTGTGTCTGTCTGACTGTGTTTGCATAGGCAGAGTGGCAGATGTCTCTTTATTCATTTTTTTTATTTTTTAATTCTTTTCCTTGAACTTTATTTTTTATTTGATTGTGCTTTAGGCAAAAGTTTACAGCTCAAGTTAATTTCTTATACAAAAATTTCTACACATATTGTTATGTGACATTATTTGCAATCCCTGTAATGTGACAGTACACTCCCTCTTTCCACCTCAGGTTTCTTGTGTCCATTCAACCAGTTCCTGTCCCTTCCTGCCTTCTCATCCGCCCATTTGGTCTTGTGTATCCGCTTGAACTAAGCACACTCTTCGTGAGTATTGTTTTATGTTTTATAGTCCAGTCTAATCTTTGTCTGAAGAGTGGGCTTCGGGAATGGTTTTAGTTCTGGATTAAGAGACCACTGGGGGCCGTGGCTTTGGGGGTTCCTCCAGTCTCAGTCAGACCATTAAGTCTGTTTTTTTTTAACAAGAATTTGAGTTCTGCTCCACATTTTCTCCTGCTCCATCAGGGACTCTCTGTTGTGTTCCCTGTAGGCTGGTCATTGATAGTAGCCGGGCATCATCTAGTTCTTCTCGTCTCAGGCTGATGGAGTCTCTGGTTTATGTGGCCCTTTTGTCTCTTGGGGAGCATATATCTCTTTAGACAAGATTCCCAGTTATGCCCCTTAAATTTTATAATGGAATCTTAAACCTATCCTTCACTGATTGATTAACAAATCTGTTTTTTTGTTTTGTTTTATTGTGCTTTAGGTGAAGGTTTACAGAGCAAAATAGTTTCCCATTCAACAGTTTGTACACAGAATGTTCCAAGACCTTGGTCACAGTCCCGTCAATGTCGCAGCACTCTCCCCATTTCTGCCCTGTGTTCCCTGTTACCTTTCAACGGGTTTTCCTACCCCTTCCCGTCTTGCTTTTGGGCAGATTTTGCCCTTTTGATCTCATATAATTAACTGTTCTAAGGAGCTTGTTCCTATCGGGGTGATCTCCAGGAATGGGTTCATTTCCATGTTAGAAGGGTGTCTTAGGGCTGTAGTCTTGGAAGTTCCTCCCGTCTCTGTGAGACCAGTAAGTCTCATCTTTTTTATGGATTTGATTTTTGTTCTACATTTTTCTCCCGCTCTGCACGGGGCCCTTATTGTGATCCAGGTCAGAGCAGTCAATAGTGGTAGCTGGGCACCGTCTAGTTCTTCTGGTATTGGGGTAATGTAGGCTGTGGTTCGTGTGGTCCTTTAGTCCTTTAGACTAATTGCCCCCTTGAGTCTTCGGTTTTCTTAACAAATCACTTTGTTCTGCCCCAATCTGTGACGTAAAATATCAATACTTAAGGTTATTGCCAGCAATTAAAACATTAAATTTCCAGCTGTGCAGCTTTCATCAGAGGACATTCGGCAACGTCTGGAGACATTTTTAATCGTCTTGACTGGCGTGTGTGCGTGTGTGTGTGTGTGTGTGTGTGTGTGTGCGTGCGCGTGTGTGTGTGTGTGTGTGTGTGTGTGTGTAGTATGTGTGTAATACTGGAATCTAACGGGTAGAGGCCAAGAATGCTGCTAAACATGCTACAATGCACAGGACAGCCCCCTCACCACAAACGATTTTATGTCTCAAAATGTCACTAGTGCTGAGATAGAGAAGCTGGTTGATTTATATCCATGACATGGTTTCCTGTTTGCTTTGGCCTCTAAAAAACCTAGACCCAGATTTGCAGTCTGCATTTAACAATTGTGCAGAAATTTATGGAAGGATATAACATTCAGAGTCTTTTAACTATCTTGGGCTTAGTTTCACTTTTTCCTGATTTCATAATAGTTTCTGTTACGTTCCATGCATATATGTAAGCTGACTTAACTCTTCAAGTGGGATAGCAATACGTAATGATATATATATATCTGAACATAGGTGACTGGACTGTTGACCATAAAAATCTGGGGCTAGAAACAAGTCGAGGTTTAACAACACTTCTTAGTTGGTCGAATATACATAATTTAGACTCTGCTTTTGATTTCCTCTTCTGATTCTTTAAATGACCTATTTCCCTATGATACATAAGTTTCCATGAGCTCATCTTGTTTTCACAATGTTCCGTTTTGTTGTTAAGAGAAACAAAACCTAAAAACCTCATATGTTTCAGTAATTCACTGTTGCCTTTCTCTGTGAAATTGCTCCACTCAGTTATGCAAATGGAGACTAGCTAGGGGGTAGAAGCCTCTTCAAGCACTTCAATCCAGGGGAATTGGACCCCTATCTTCAGTGTGGTGCTTATCAGCCACACGCTTGCCAGATGAGGTCCAGCGCACTGACCTTCTCTCTTCCTTCTCAGGCCCTTGTTCAGTTTAGTGTAGCCACACCAGCTTTTTCTCTGTCCCACAGCTCATTCCAGACCTGGGACCTTTGCACTGGCTATTTCTTCTACCTCTAACTCCCTTCCCTTACATCTTCCACCTTTGCAAGGAATCAAAGAGGAAGGGGCTTGTCATATCTCTTGAGCCTGCCTCTGTGTTCAGGCGGGTTGTGTGCATTCTTCCCCTACCTTTGGAGACACTAGGCAGAGTCCTCAAGACCCCCCGCCAGAATACATCATCTCCTGTACTGTCCAGAAGTTTTCCTTGTATCTAGTAAAACTCTGCATGATTTAAAAAAAAATTTTTTTTTAATTTTTATTGTGGTGAAATATATTTAAAAAAACATTTCAATAATTTTTACGTGTATAATCCAGTGACATTAACTACATTCACCATGCTGTGCAATGATCCTCACTATCCGTTTCCAGATTTTTCATCACTCTTAGCAAAAACTCTGTACCTATTAAGCAATACCATCCCCACCCCCACCCCCCGCATCTCCCCATCCCACCTGCCCCAAATAACCACAAATGAACTTTGGTCTTTATGCATTTGCTTTTTCTGGATATTTCATTTAAGTGGGATCATATAATATTTGTCCTTTGTGGTTGAGTTACTTCACTCAGCATAATGTTTTCAAGGCTCATCCATGTTATAGCATGTGTCAGGACTTCATTTCTCTTTATGGCTGAGCAATATCCCATTGTACAAGTACACCACATTTTGTTTTTCCATTCATCTGTTGATGGACCTGTTGGTTAGCAGCTGAGCGGGTTAACCATTTGCACCACCCAGGGACTCCAGCAAAAAAAAAGACTGAACTCTTGACGGTAGGAATTGATGGAGTTGGTTACAAAGTTTAGTTCTGGGGCTTTCTCCTCCACTACCATCCCTGGGCTACTAACAAGGCTTTTCTGGCCCCCTTTCCATCACAAGTTTGGTAGATAATTTGGAGAAAACGACAAAAAAATTTCTTCCGTAGACTTTGATTCCCTAATTTGAGTCTCATACTTGGAAGTAAAGTAAGAAGGAAGACAATTAAAAGGTGCTAAAGGGTTTCTGTTTTGGCAGGCAGAGTGAATCTCCTGAGTTACATAACTGGGACTGGAATTGTGAATGTAGGAACCACAGGATGTTAGTTTGGGGATGAATTCCTATGAGACCCTTGAACCAAATTTGAACCTCCTTTTGAAGCCCATGATCACTTGTTTTTGGCATCATCCCTACCCATGTCAATTTCCTCAGGGCTTCCCTTCTTTTTCTGTTTCTTTTGAGGCTCCCTATTTCAGAAAACTCTTTTGAGATGAAGCTTACCCCACAGAGAGGCAGCAAGGCCTTGAGGGGGTGAAGCCAAATGGACCAAGTTCGAGTTTACCTAAAGCTTTGATCACCCGGCACAGGTTCATCTTTGGGTTTTACTTTCCTCATCTGTAAAATGCCAGGCACAAAGGAGGCACATGTTCATCTCTTTCCCCCACCCTAATCGCTACCCCCATAAACTTTTGAGGTTACTCTGCTTGCTTTAGGTAAGTTACCACCTGATATTCCTAAGGTCAGGCAAGAGCAGCCCTGTAACAGGAAGAAGCTTTCAGATCTCCCAACAAGCCTTCAGCTGAGTGATTCACTTGTTGCTGGGGAAACTTAATGCCATGAAAGCATTCGGTTTAGGGAAGTTATGGTGAAAAAACAGATTGCTTTTAGTTTTTTCTTGATGGCTGCTGCTGGTATAAAATGTAGAAAATGTGTTGTCATTAGGTGCTGTCTAGTTGGCTCCAACTCATAGCGACCCTATGTACAACAAAACGAAACATTGCCGGGTCCTGGGCCATCCTCACAATCAGAAAATGTGTAAGTCATATTAAAAGCAAAACATGGTACCAGCACAAATGGTTTCTTTTCTGGCACATTATAAAGGCAAGGAATTCAAGTCCTCAGGGGTTAAATTCCAGTAATTTCTTGTTTTTAAATTTAAAGATAAAGGATTGTGTGGAATAGTTGTTAAAAACGGATTCAGATTACCTAAGGGGAAAGTGGCATCCAATTTCCTATTTTTGAAATTTTAAGCTCTTTAAGCTCTGCTGATATGAGTAACAAGTGATTTTGAAGTCTTTATGTAGTAGCCAGGGAGGTGGATTTGTACAGACTTAAGGATGAAAATATGTATATATATATATATATGATGGAATGTCTTTTAAACTTAGGAAACTAGTGATGAAAAATGAAACATTATCCAAAACGCATGTTATATTCAAATTCAGAATCTTCTTTTGTTGCAGTTTTTCCCCTCCTACTTAATGACAGAGTAATGCATCTGTTTACATGCAGCTTTTGCAATACAAAGTGTACCTTGGAGTGACATGACAAGCAATGTGCCTGGCCCAAAAAGCGGGGGAGGAAGTGTCAATCTAGATGTACCAGCTTGAGGCTGAGTTGGGAGTGGTGCTTCTGCTCTTTCCTATTTGAGGTGAGCAGAAGGGCTGTCCTTACGCTTTTCATGTTGTTGTTGTTAGTTGCCTTCAAGTCGACTTCAACTCGTGGTGACCCCACTGACAACAGAATGAAACGTTGCCCTCTCCTGCTCCATCTTCATGTTTGCTGGTGTGTTTGAGTTCATTGAGCCTCACTCTTGTTCATTGACTCCCTATGTTACCAAACGTGATGTCCTTTTCTAGCTGTGGTCTTTCCCAATGAGGTGTCCAAAGTAAGTGAGTGGAAGTCTCACCATCCTTGCTTCTAAGGAACATTCTGATTGTATTTCTTTTAAGACTGCTCATAATGTATTACGTATTACTCATATTAGCAGTGTGGTTGTTTCTCTTCCCATGTTGGAGGAAAAGTGGCATTTGTACAGTATTTATTTAACAACTATGTGTATAGCGCTTACTATGTGTTGTTTTAAGTTCTCCCCGAAGCACTTTACAAATATAAACTAATTTAACTCATTTAATTCTAGTGAGTTAGATCAAGCTATTCTCTCCTTTTTTCAGATAAGGAAACTGAGGCACAGAGAGATTAAGCAGTTTGTCTAAGTTCACACAGTTGGTAATTGATGGGACCAGGGTTTGAGTTCAACAGTGTAACTCCACAGTCCTTACTCCAAAATATTTTGCAAAACATCAGTAGTCATAGTAGTGTCCTCCTTAGAAATTTTCAAGAGAATATTTTCTTTCCACCATCTTGCGTCTTATAAGCACACTTTAGAATCTGAACAACCGTGTGGTCGGTATCTGTCTTAGTCATCTAGTGCTGCTCTAACAGAAATACCATGAGTGGATGGCTTTAACAAAGAGAAATTTATTCTCTCACAGTCCAGTAAGCTACAAGTCCAAATTCAGGGCATCAGCTCCAGGGGAAAGCTTTCTCTGTTGACTCTGGAGGAAGGTCCTTGTCATCAGTCTTCCCTTGGTCTGGGAGAGTCTCAGCGCAGGAATCTCAGGTCCAAAGGATGCACTCTGCTCCCGGCACTGCTTTCTTGATGGTATGAGGTCCCCAGCTCTCTGCTTGCTTCCCTTTCCTTTTATCTCCTGTAAGATAAAAAGTGGTGCAGGCCACACCCCAGGGAAACTCCCTTTACGTTGGATCAGGGCTGTGACTTTAAGAAGGGTGTTACAATCCCACCCTAATCTTCTTTAACATAAAACTAAAATCACAAAATGAAGGACAACCACACAATACAGGGAATCATGGCCCAGCCAAATAGATACACACATTTTTTGGGGGGCATAATTCAATCCATGACAGTATCCTTTCAGACTTCTCTGTGTATGTGTACGTGTGTGTGTGCATATATACACATATATAAAACCAGTTATCATGGAGTTCATTCAAATTAATGGCAACCCCATGTGTGCAGAGTAGAATTGCTGTATAGGGTTTTCAAGGCTATGACCTTTCAGAAGCAGATTGCCGGGCCTGTCTTCCAAGGTACCTCTGGGTGGGTTCGAACCGCCAACCTTCCGGCTAACAGTCGAGCACTTAACCATCTGCATCACTCAGGGACTCCATATATGCGTATAGATGTGTATATATTATAATGTTTTTCAATCAACAATTCTTGACAGTCAATAATGTCCAAGTATACAAATCTGTCTTTTTTACTCACTCTCAAAATGTCAGTTAGCCCTAGTGTAATGAACTATTCTCTATTGAAAAACATCCCGATTTTCTCCAATATGTTTATGGTATAAATAATGCCATTGTGAACATCCTCGTGCCCTGTGCTAGCGTTTCTAAAGAACAGATTGCCAGAAACCAAATTCCCAGTGGGCAGTTGCTTCATTGTCCAGCAAGTGGCTAGTGTGAGGACTTGTTAGATCTTACCAGGGGCAGTATGTTGATAAACTAAGAGTTACTGGTAGTCTTTTATCCCACAGTCCCCCTTTTGGTTTTTTAAAATCACCCTTTTAATACTCTCAGGCCCTTAAATGAGCCTGAGCAACCCCCAATGGTTACTTGTTTCAATTAAAGAAATTTTAGGAAAGTCCTCAGGCTCCAGTTTTCTGGAGATATTGGTGGCTGTCCCTTTGTGAGTGAAGGACTGCCCCACGCTTTTTGTCCGTTTAGACCACCCAGCTAAGCTTGCGGAATGAACTTCCCCGAGTTGTGGTTGCATCCCAAACCCTCAGTTATCATTACTGTTATTTTTACTGAAGGTCTCTACATATAAAATGTATCTTCATTTACTATTTAAAAAAACTGTACTGAAGACATTGCCGATGACATCACCCTGAGCACGTTATATAAAGTCCATCATAAGAAAACTCTGGATTTGTGCGGGGAGGCCCTCTTTCCTGCTAGGAGCCTGGTATACTTCCTCTTCCCCAGTGTGGAAGCTCCCTAACTCACTGCTGACTGTGCCTTGACCCTCCCTGCCAGGAAACCCAGTTACAGCAAATCAGCTACCCACAGGGTTGCCATATTTCCATTTTCCTCTTTTCCCTGGCTCTGGTTTTCTTAACCTTTTTGTTTTCTTTTTTCAAATCCTTTTGTGGAAGAGGCAGGCTACAAAAATAATCTTTTTTTAGTATCATTGAGGAATAGACAAAACATGCGTTTCAAATAGCCTTCCTGTGGCAAAGTGGTAAGAGCTCCGGCTCCAGACTGAGGCCCTCCTGTGTGTGAGCCCTGCTCAGCCACTCACCAGCACTGTTACTTTGGGTGAGTCCTCTAACCTCTTTAAGCCTCAGTTTACTCCTCTGTAGAGTTAATAATACCTTAGTTGTAGAGTTTCTTAAGGATTAAATGAGATGCTCAGCACATTATAAACATTTAATTAAAAATACTGAAGTGTAAATCATTGTAAAGAGCAGTTTGTATCCGTTTTTGTTGGGAGTAGATTGTATCCTCCACTTTTCTGGTACCTTTGCACAGCGTAAGGAATTGCAAGACCTGGTCTAGTTTGGGAGCCCTCGTAGCTCAGTGATTAAGAGTTTGGCTGCTATCCAAAAGGTCGGCAGTTTGAATCCACCAGCTGCTTCTTTCAAATCCTGTGGGGCAGTTCTTCTTTGTCCTGTAGGGTCACTGTGAGTCGTAATCAACTCAATGGCAATGATTTTTTTTTTTGGTCTAGTTTGGGTTGCTCATCAGCATGTCGTGGCAGTGCTCTCTGAGCGTTCTTGCTGGAGTGTGTCTGCCAGGGGTTGTGAGGCCACTGGAGGACTGAACCGCAGGCCCCGAGCGTGAAGCTCTGTGCTGCGTGGGCGAACAGCCAAGGCCCATGGGTACCTCTTCATCTCCATTGCCCCAGAACAATTGCCGTCTTCTCATTTGGACCCCTTACAAAGCCCGGGTAGTGGATTTCCCCACTCTAGCTCACTTTCCCCTCTGTCCTTTCTACAGAGTCTCCTCTCTGAAATAGAGATCTAGTAAGTGGCACTGCCTCAGTTAAAAACTTTTAGCAGTTGCCCTCTGCCTGCTGAGTGAGGTCCACACTGCATGGCATGCCAGCTAAGTAAAGCTGGGCACCATCCAGCTGAGAAGTTCTTATCTCATCTCCTGCCTTGCTCTCTCTCTGTCACAGACACACACGCATACACACGCCATCACTTTTTTTTTAAATAAAATTGTTCATACAGTCCCCATATTTTCTTTTTTCCCAACTTTTCATTTTGAAAATTTCCAATCTACAGAAAAGATGAAAGAATAAAGATCATTGTGCCCTGCACCTAGATACACTAATTTTTATGTATCACCACATTTGTTCCTTCCCTCCTTCCCTTTCTCTCACCGTCTCCACACACAGACACACACACACCCACACCCCCCCCCACACACACGTGCGCGCGCATGCACACGCATGCATGCACGCACACACACACAATTTTTCCTTTTTGCTGAAGTGAGTCCTAACTCCTGAGATAAGGACACTCTCCTGTATAATCACAATGCCATTATCACACCTATCGCTTCTTAACAACAGTCCCCTAATGCCGTGTGCAAGTCAGTTTACATTTCCCCAGGTATCACAGCTGTGCATCTCCTTCGTGCCCTCCAGGATTCAGTCAAGGTTCACACACTGTGCCTCTTTTGTCTCTTTTAACACGGAATCGTCCTGCCCTGTTTCCCGTGTTCAGGCTAGTTATCTTGTAGAATGCCACCCATTATGGATTTCTCTGATGGTTTGTCTTGCTCCTCTATCCCCTGTATTTCCTGTAAACTGGAATTTCTGTCTAGAGGTCTCCATCTCTCTTGTAAAACAACAGTGACTGAGGTGGGCTTCACTTCTTTCCCTTTTCCTTGCCCATCTTCAGCAAGAGGGGTCCAGATGAGTATGCAGGAAGCCCTAAGAGAGGCAGCCTTAGCTGCTTCATTCATTCATTTATCCATTCAGTATTCTTTGAGCACCTGCTATGTGCAGGCACTGTTTTCTGTGCTGTGAGCACTGCAGTGAATGAAACAGATTAGGAGCCTGCCAGCTTCTATTATAGTTGGGGCAGCAGACCATAAACAAACCAATAGGTAATGAGATGTAGGTCATAGTAAGAAAAACAAAAGTTTAAATTATGATGGGCAGACACAAGGGGTGCTGTTTTCAATAGGGTGGTTAGCAAAGACCTGTCTAGGGAAGTAACATTTGTATAGAGAGATCTGGAGAGAGAGAAGGAGACGGAGAGGGACGGAGGGGGGAGGGGAGCTGGACTGAGGAAGAGTTGCCCTGTCACCCACACTGTGGGACGTTCTTGGTGGGAGTGCTCTGTGTCCTGCTCTCTTCCTGCACTGAGAGGGTTCGCCAGTGTGCGTTGGAGCTTAGTGACCCCGCTGCCCCCAGCCTTTCCCCTCGGACCTGGGCCTGTGTCCTCAGAGGCCATGCAGGGAGGCCTTCCCTATTACCATATTCCTCATTTATAAAATACAATTTTAATGGCTTAGCAGCTAAAGACAGCTTTTTGGAGAGTGAGTGGAGAAAGGGGTGGGACTGGTGAAAAGAGAAGGCCCGTGCTTAATTTACAGAGATCAACTCTAAAACCATCTCAATTTCAAAATCTTTAGCATATGGAAAAAATGTGCTGTTTTGAATCAAAGAAGTGCTCACTTCCCCTTCATTTTGGGAACTTCAGCTCTGTAGTTGCAGAAAGAGGTGTGGCTGTCCTCTAGAGGCTCCATTCCTCACCAGTGAAATGATAAACAAGATGTAGTTCCCAGACCTCCTGGAATCCTGCACCACAAAGTGCGAAGACAGGCAAGGTTCCGCTGTTGCAACGATGCAGTGTGGAAGACAAATAGAATTTGTGAAAGGGATTTTAGAGACATCTTTATGTCTTAAATGTCTAAATTAAATGTAAAATGTTTAATGACATTAAATGTCCTCCCCCGTGAAGTATTTCTTAATTCCCCAAACCAGCCCCTTCTCCAAACTCTAACCTCTCCCTCCTCTAAACTTTTAAGGGGTCTTCCCCCAAAGTTGACACAGATCACATGGGAAGCATCCTCACTCCCACTGGATCCCCTCCCCTCCCCAGAGAATTTTCTGGGATGTACCCAGGGACTCGCTATTCTCTTGACTCTTGGTGATTCTGTCGTTCCTCCAAGGTTTGGGAACCTTTGTCCTTTAGGGGCCTTAAATGCACCTTCTAATGGTGCTCATAGCAGATTTGTTTTGTTTTTAATGTATAGACATGACCATGAGGTTACACTGTAAGGCAAGATTTATATCTGAGTCCAATTTTTTTTTAATCACTTTATTCTCCAGAGTGCTTAGCATATGTCTGCATATCCTAGGTATGTATTATTGAATAAGTGAGTAAAAGGGTTTAGTGCCATAGAAGCACAATTGTATCATTCTGCACTGGTCAGTCACAGCCTCTCTTCTCTCCATGGGCAGTTGTTCCTCCACAGTCCCATTCACAGTCATGACTGGCTGTGGCCATAATTTGTACCTCTAGCTCCGCCATCTTTCCTGACTTTCAGCCTATCTTACTTGGAAGCCCATGGAACTTGCTGATCTGGATGTTCTTCAAGCATCTTTTCTCCTTTACCTGTGCTTCCTCCTTTACTTCTTTTATTGGTTAAGGCCACAACCATCTTCCTAGGCCCCAAACCACCTTCAGTTGGAACCAGGTTCCATATGTTCTAACTCTTAATCATGCCCGCATTTGAAACCTCAACCTCCCTTTCCACTCCCCCCGACCCCCGCCAACTTCACCCTGCAGTCTACACGCTCTGAATCATGTCACTTGCCTTCAGGATAAAGAACCAACTTCTCAGCATGGCATCAAGGTGTGCCTCCCTCTCAGCTCCAACTCCTGGCCATCCCTACACACTCTTTGGCTAAAGGGTTTGGCATTACAGAACAAGTTCCCTAAAGGGTCAGATTGAGCTAGATTCCCAGAAGGGGCCATGTTATGGTGTTTACATGTGAAGTTCCTGTGTCCTGGAATCCCTTTACCAGCTTTGTCACTTGTTGCCATCCCTCACATCTGGACTCACAGAGCATTTCCTTCAGGAAGCTTCCATGACCACCTCCTTTTCCTCTTACCTGGGTTAGATGTCCTTTCCTTTCCTAGGTCCTGTGTATCCTCTATCATCAACTCCCTACCTTGTATTGTAATTTTAATTCACATGTCTTCCCCCAGAATATGAGCATGTTTAGACCATGAATTACATCTTGCTGACATAAAATTGATGCCCAATTAAGTATTTGTCAAATGAATGAACATGCAAACCAACTTTGTGAACGGTATCCACATTTCAGTTTGTTAATTCATGTATGATAAAGAAAAAAAGGAGTATATATTTTTTTATTCTTCTTTAATGGAGAGATTTTGGTGTCTGAGGCCAGTTCTAGAATGGTAAAAAAATGTCATCGCTTTTATATTCCAACAGGAAATATGGGATGTATAAAATCAAAAAGGAAAGACAATCTGAATGACGATGGAGTAGATCTGAAGACCCAACCAGTACGTAATACTGACCGAACTATTTATGTGAGAGATCCAACGTCCAATAAACAGCAAAGGCCAGTAAGTAGATAGTCTCAGGAGAGAATTCCAACAGCAGGATCAAAGCATGGCTGACATAATCTAAAAACCAGTCTGTGACATGTGCATGTAAAAAAATCACATTGATTACTTGGCCTCGAATAACTTTTGATATGCTCTGTAACTTAATCCTTGGAAGAGCTTGTAAACAGTTTCGTGATAACTAGGCCACTTATTGTGCAATAGCTGGGCCTTTGGTCACCTTCTTATGTGTTGAGAAAAGCATCTTTCATATTGCTAGTTCATATTGCTAAAGACCCAACTCTTTATTTATATATATGATAAAAGATCTTGTGTGATTTAGGAGAGGTGGTGAGATTAGCACAGTGGTCTGGGAACAAAAGGAAATGCTGCATTCAGGTCAGAAGTTAAAATATGTGCTAATATATCCTTTGAGGTATCATACATCTTGTCATTTTCTCAATTAATTCTAAATGGTACAGATATTGAAGCTGTTGTGATTTATTATAATGAATGAAAAGATTAAGGAAAAACAATTCCCGTTACCTTGTACAAATAGCTGCATCAGAAATTTTGTATGAGTGATGCATAATTTGGTGCATTTGAGAAATGCTTGGCAAAGAAAAAAACTCACATTTCATGGGAAGGAGGAAAGAGCTTTGGATAATTATAAACTTAAATGTACTTTATTTCAGACCTTATATTCTTTCCATACATTCTGTCAACTGTGTGTATCCTCCCATAGCCCAGTTTTTTTTATGAATTCCTCAGCCTTAAAGCTGCAAAATGTTTATTCCAGGTTAGCCCAAGTCTTTATTAAGAGTTTTCATAGTTTCTCTGACATATTCCTAAATCACTAGTGGGCCTTCTACCACCCTGCTCCCTCCACCTTCTCCCATTATTCTGCAGGTATAACATATCCGTCATATGTAAAAGTCACATGTCATTACTGAGGACTAATAAGTCAGAGTTGGCCTTATTAAAAAGAAGTAAATCCATTATGCTATTAAGTTGTCATACATGATGTTTCTGGAGAAAGAAATTAGATTGTAATTTTATATATAGAAAATATAGAAACTCAAAGTGTAGATGATTATTAATAGTGATAATATATTTTAAAACATAATTGTATATAAATGTAGAATTATATGTTGTATAAATATGACTAATAGGAAGTAAAATAAGAGGAATCAGAATCCCAAATAATTTTTTTTTCATTTTTATTTTTATTTTTTTAAATTGTACTTTAGGTGAAGGTTTACAGAACAAACTAGCTTCTCATTAAATAGTTAATACACATATTGTTTTACGACATTGGTTAACAACCCCACGACATGTCAACACTCTCCCTTCTCGACCTTGGGTTCCCCATTACCAGCTTTCCTGTTCCCTCCTGCCTTCTAGTCCTTGCCCCTGGGCTGGTGTGCCCCTTTAGTCTTGTTTTGTTTTATGGGCCTGTCTAATCTTCAGATGAAGGGTGAAACCTCAGGAGTGACTTCATTACTGAGATAAAAGGGTGTCCAGGGGCCATACTCTCGGAGTTTTTCCAGTCTCTGTCAGACCAGTAAGTCTGGTTATTTTTTGTGAGTTAGAATTTTGGTCTACATTTTTGTCCAGCTCTGCCCAGGACCCTCTATTGAGATCCCTGTCAGAGCAGTCAGTGGTGGTAGCTGGGCACCATCTAGTTGTACTAGACTCAGTCTGGTGGAGGCCATGGTAGTTATGGTCCATTAGTCCTTTGGACTAATCTTTCCCTTGTGTCTTTAGTTTTCTTCCTTCTCCCTTGCTCCCAAAGGGGTGAGACCAGTGGAGTATCTTAGATGGCTGCTTACAGGCTTTTAAGACCCCAGATGCTACTCACCAAACTAGAATGTAGAACATTTTCTTTATAAACAATGTTATGCCAGTTGAGCTAGATGTTCCCTGAGACCATGGTCCCCACAGCCCTCAGGCCAGTAATTCGGTCCCTCAGAGAGTTTGGATGTGTCTGCGGAGCTACCATGACGTTGCCTTGTACAAGTTGTGCTGGCTTCCGCAGTATTGTGTACTGTCTTAATCTTCACCAAAGTTACCACTTATCTATTGTCTGTTTAGCGTTTTTCCATCCCCATCCCTCCCCTCCCTTGTAACCATCAAAGATTGTTTCTCTTTGTGTGTAAACCTTTACATGGGTTTTTATAGTAGTGGTCTCATACAATATTTGTCCTTGATTGACTACAAATAATTTTCTTATTATAGACTTCAGAGTTCTCATAAAAAGGACATGATTTTTTTTCTGGTACCATGTGCTATAGATTTTACATGCTTTAAAATCCAAGTTTTTTGTTTTTAAACTATGAATGAAGGTGTCCATTATTCAAAAAGCAAAGGAGAATAGTACAAAGTTACACATCATTTTTCCTTTTTTTTCTGGTCACGAAACCACGAACTACTAAGAGTAAAGAAAATTAAAAAGTTAGAAAGCAGAAATAGTAACAATAGTTGAAATTGTTCAACTCCCTTATGTGTACCATAAGAATCTTAGTGCCCTCTGTAGTCACAGACACCCTCGCTTTGTGAGCTGATTCGCTTGGTCTTTTTCCGTGGCCATCAATAACACTCTCAACACTACCAGCTGCGCTGGAAGTGGATGCTAGGGATTAGAGAGAGACTTGGAGGAGATACCAAGGCTAAATTAATGCAAATTCAGCAGCACTCTAGGGAAAGACGTTTTAAAGAAAAAGAGATAGTACATGAGTTTGCGTATCTGTGTTTTGTCCTTGTAAAAAGCGTATTATAAATTAGTCTTGCTGATATTTGAAATTTAGTTTGCTGCTTTCAAAATGATTTAATTAGTTTCATGCGTTATAATTATTTCCTTTAAATCATGTAAAATAGATCATACATCTTAATTATGCGAAGCTACATGATTTTAAAAATCAGTTCTTTTATAAACTTCTTGAAATAAGTACTGAAGGATAGTGTGGACCCATGGATTTTCTGAAGCCACAATGTAGTAATTCCTCCCCTACCCGTCACTGAATTGGAGATTTTATGGGCTGATTTTCATCTGAAATTAAATTTCAGTGCAAACTGTTTTGGTCCTATTCCATTAAGCCACTTTAATGAAGAGAAATAGAAAAGTTACCTGGTTTGCAGGTATGTGCCTCTTACCATGCCTTTCTTAAGATAGGCATTAAAAAACAAACAAACAAGCCAAACCCGTTGCTGTCGAGTAGATTCTGACTCATAGAGAACCTATAGAACAGAGTAGAACTGCCCCATAGGGTTTCCAAGGAGTGGCTGGTGGATTCGAACTCCAGACCTATTGGTTAGCAGCTGCAGCTTTTAACCACTGTGCCACCAGGGCTGCAAGACAGGTATAATAGACTTTATATATCTCCACCACAGTCACTGGGAGAAAAGGAATTTGATTTTAAAGGTAATGAAGGTTGCCTTTTGTGCCACCAAAGCCTTCCCGATAGCTCTCACCTAAAAGAACAGGGGATGCCATGATTTTTAACAAGCCTGGGGAATGTGGAGGTTGGCAATGCAGGGCTGTGTGGCAGCTCCACAGTCACCAGGGACCTGGCCACTTCCACCTTCTCGCTCCCCTGTCCTAGGGTGTGGTTTCCAAGGCTGCTAGGACTCCAGCCTCCACATATTTCCAGGCAGAAATAAGAAGAGGGTAAGGGAATAAAGGGGGCCTTCCCCTAAACCCTACACAGCCTTATTTGCTTATAGAGAAACCCCCTCTCTCCCCTATGTGCATAAAAAAACCCAAACCCGTTGCCGTCGGGTCGATTCTGACTCATAGTGACTTTATAGGACAGAGTAGAACTGCCCTGTAGAGTTTCCAAGGGGTGGCTGGTGGTTTCGAATAGCTGATCTTTTGGTTAGCAGCCAAGTTCTTAACCACTGTGCCACCAGGGCTCCACACTACGTGCAAGGAAGCTAGAAAATTTGAAAACTTAGCTCACAAATTGCCACCCCAAATAATACTAGGATTCTCTTACCAATTAAGAGGGGAAATTATGATTGGGTAAGCATCTAGCAGCATCTGCCCAGAGCCCCGGTCCTTTCCTGTCACCACAGGCAAATGCCAGCTTTTAGAAGAAAGAACCAGTCTCTCTGAGCTGTGTATATCATGACCTAGCTTTACAGAATTTTCTCTCTATACTCCTCTTCCTTCCAACTTAATCAATTAGCAAAGCCAAACCTCATTTTTTACTGTTAGAAAATGATACGCCATACAACACGGATGTAAGAAAAGCTAAACATCATTTTTTTTTCTAACAAATATTCTCTTGTAGGTTTCAGAATCTCAGCTTTTGCCAGGACAGAGGTTTCAAGCTAAAGGTATGTTTACATAGCAACATAGTTCTGTTCTTTTTTTTTTTTTTTAACCATTAGACCTTCTATAAAGTAGTTGTCCTGGATGTTTTCATTTTTTTTAGTATAGGGTTGGAATTAGTTATAATCTCAGGCTCTTACGTTTTAGAGCCTTGGAGCAGTGGTTAAAGCACTCAGCTGCTAATTGAAAGGTCAGTGGTTGGAACCCAGCAGCTGCTCTGTGGGAGAAAGATGTGGCAGTCTGCTTCCGTAAAGATTTATAGCTTTGGAAACTCTATGGGACAGTTCTGCTCTGTGCTATAGAGTCGATATGAGTCAGAATCGACTCGACAGCAATGGGTTTGGATTTTTTGGTGGGGGTGTGTATATTTTGAGCTGACAAATGCTGCGCACAGTGCGTGCAGTAGTTTACTTTCTGTGGGTGCATAGCCGTGAGCTTCACAAGGTGGGAATCATGACATCACGTCAGCTGCCCCTCCTCAGGGCTTCGTCTCCTTCTTTGGAGCTGATGAAGATTTGTTACAGCTCTCTGCTGATGGATTCTTAAAGGTCTTGGCTTGCATTCTTCATTTTAGATCCGGAGGAACAAGGAGACATTGTGGTAGCCTTGTACCCCTACGATGGCATTCACCCAGACGACTTGTCATTTAAGAAAGGAGAGAAGATGAAAGTTCTAGAGGAGTAAGTACACCCAAGTACCCTGCTAGATCACGCCTTGTTTCTCAGGCCGCTCATGTCCTGTGGACTCCTGATTTAGCTTCCAGGAACCCAGGGATGGCCAGGCCCCCCTCAGGCTTTGGGTATGGAGCCTCCTGGCCCCTTGTTGTCAGTAAAGCTTCTATGGGAGTGGAAGGAGTAGGGTCAAAGGAATGTTCCTTTTAAATTTGGCTGTGAGCACTCTCTGGGAGGTTTCTCTTCAAAGGTTTCTAGGAGGTGTCTTTCATTATCCAGTTGTGCCACTTCAAGAGGTCTGGGTTTTTCTACGTGGAATTTGCATTTAAAAAATTTTAAATTGTTAATTTAAAAAAAATTAAATGCCATTTTTATTTTGTTATTTTGCTCAAATTCAATTTGGTTTATGTACCCAACTTGTTTTGGTGTTTAGGGGTGGATTAACCAGTAAGCACAGGCATACACTAAGCAAGGTATCACAGGCTTATTTTTGTTTACTTACTAAGTAAACTCGGTGGCTCAGTGGTTAAAGCAATCAACTGCTAACCGAAAGGTCAGCAGTTCAAAGCCACCATCAGCTCCACAGGAGAAAGATGTGGCAGTCGGGTTCCGTAGAGATTTACAGCCTCGGAAACCCTATAGGATCACTGTGAGTTGGAACGGACGCCACAGCAGTGGGTTTGAGTACTAATCAGTAGCGAGCAATTTCACACGGGTTTGACCACATACAGCACAAGGGTAATGTGGAAAGCAGCCAGTGGTATTGGAAAAGGCCCTAGTCAGCAGTTGCAGCCCTTCCGTGATGCCGCCTGATGACATCATTTCCTTGACCCCTCAGTGCTAACTCATAGATAGGGCCAATTGTCTCACCATAGGCTTAGGACAGGACTCAGAATCAGGAACTCCCAATATTCTAATTCTTGCTTTTCCTGCATAAAATTGTTGCCCTGGCCTAACACATAGGGTTAGAGGAAGGAGACCCACTTACGAAGCGGAAGGCGTGCAGTGGCTGAGAGCAGTGTATTTTACAGGTTGAACATGAACTTGAGCCTAATCCAGCCCTGCCACTTGATAGCTATGTGACCTTGAAAAGTCACTTAAACTCTAGACCTTATTTCTTCACTTATAAAATAGGAATGACAATACATTTTCATGGAGTTGATGTGAGGATTAAATGTATATATGTGTGCATACATATAAAAATGTTAGACTACCTGGCATATAGTAGGCAGTAGCTACATGCTAAGGAGTCCTGGTGGTGCAATGGCTAAGCACCCAGCTGCTAACCTAAGGGCTGGCAGTTTGAACCCACTCAGTGGCTCCACAGGAGAAAGACCTGTCGATTTGCACTCATGAAAACTGCAGCCTAGGAAACCCTATGGGACAATTCTACTCTGTCACATGGGATTGCTGTGAGTTGGAGTTGACTCGACAGCACCTAACAACAACAACAGCTAAGCTCAAGCAGTTAACTTACATGGCTGCTAACCAAAGGGCTGGAGGTTTGAGCCCACCCAGAGGCTTCTCAGAAGAAAGTCCTGATGATCTACTTCTGAAAAATCAGCCATTGAAAACCCTATGGAGCACAGTTCTTCTCTGACACACATGGGGTCGCCATGAGTCAGAGTTGACTCTACGATAACTGGTTAGCTAAGTGTTAGTTGTAGTTGCCCTTCGTGTCTTGTAGGTTAGATCTGCTTGTGGGAATTTGAAGACGAACATAGCTGAGACTCCTAGGACCCATTCCATTTCTGCCTCCTTCACTGGCCCACTTGGTCCTTCCAGTACTGGCCCCTGCCTCCTCCCTGGCCCTTTTGTTGAGGCTTAGAGCATGGGGATGTACCTTACCTGTTGGAAGTGTTTTATGGTTTTCTTTTTCTTTTTTAACAACGTCTGTCTCTGTGGAAACTAGGTATTTTAACCAGTGCTTCGAACTGGTTGGTTCCAGTTCAATCCCCTGTTGATAATTTGCATTTCTAACAAGTTCCCTGCTGAGAATTTGCATTTCTAACAAGCTCCTAGGCAGATACTAATGCTGCTGGTTAGGGATCAAAATTTATTATACATAAGAATCACCTGGGGATCTTGTTAAACTGTAGATTCTGATTCAGTGTATCTGGGGTGGAAATGCAAATTCTTAGCACGGGTTCGAAAAGAACCAAACCGGTTTGAAGCCCTGGTTTTAACAAAGAAATTTATAATACATGAATTATGGCCCATTATTCACTTGACTCCCATTTCTATAAGGATCCTAAAGCATTTCTTAGACATTCTGGAAGAAATTGCAAATGTCTTGCTTCTGGAAGATAGGAACCATTTTTTATGTTGCACTGAGCACAGCGAACCACACTTAAATTGCAAGACAGTTTTTGTTTGCATAAGTCTCTAAACATATTTTTATTTTGGCAAGAGGAGTGAGTTTTCCCACATGGACTCTGAAGTTACAGGGATCTCTACCCCACCCTCCTCTACCCCTCGAAAGAAGCAAAAACCTTTTTAAGACAACAGCTATTGTGGCTCTTGGCTGTTGGATATAAACACCTTTTGATTTTGTGTTTCTATTTCAGGCATGGAGAGTGGTGGAAAGCGAAATCCCTTTCAACAAAGAGAGAAGGCTTCATACCCAGCAATTATGTAGCCAAAGTCAACACCTTAGAGACAGAAGAGTGAGTTCCCAGTGCTGTCCTCTCTTACAGCTTGTCTGCTGCATTTGAATGTCTTGCTTATTCTTCCTCTATTCCTTCCCTGGAACGTTGTTGTTGTTGTTAGGTGCCGTTGAGTTGGTTCCAACTCATAACAACCCTATGTGCAACAGAACAAAAGATTGCCTGGTCCTGTGCCATCCTCACAATCTTTGTCATACTTGAGCCCATTGTTGCAGCCAGTGTGTCAATCCATCTCACTGAGGGTCTTCCTCTTTTTTGCTGACCCTCTACTTTAGCAAGCATGATGACCTTCTCTAGGGACTGGTCCCTCCTGATAACACGTCCAAAGTACATGCGACAAAGTCTCACTGTCTTCGCTTCTTTTTCCAAGACAGATTTGTTCATTCTTTTGGCAGTCCATGGTATATTCAGTATTCTTCGCCAACACCATAATTCAAAGGCATCAATTCTTCTTCGATCTTCTTTATTCATTGTCCAGCTTTTGCATACCTAAGACCTGTGAAATGTTAAAAATGTCTTTTCAGGTGGTTTTTCAAGGATATAACCAGGAAAGATGCTGAGAGGCAGCTTCTGGCTCCAGGAAATAGCGCTGGAGCCTTTCTCATCAGAGAGAGTGAGACATTGAAAGGTAGGAAATGGCTCAGTGGTTTATTGTTTAGGAAGTCATTTTCAGAACCTAGTCTAGAATTACTCAAAGAATATATTGTGTACTGGTAGTGAAAGTTTTACAGTTGGATAACAAACTTGTATTAATAGTTTTACAACTAAAAATAACGTAGAAAGCAGGCATAGTTATGGACATTTCTTACCACGCTTTATGTTTGCTGAGCTTCTTGCATTATTATGTAAAGCAAATCCCTCAATTTTAAGAGAAAGAAAATCAAGATAACTTTTTGATTCAGCTAAATAATAAAATAAAATGAAGAAGGAAAATGGCATGTTGGTAAGCTTCATAGCAAACAAAATGCTAGCTTCATTTGTCAACTAGAATTTTTATAGGACTTTAAAAATTATGCATTATATACATACTTAATTTATATTTTGTATTTTTTTGGCAAGATGTCTACCACAGTGCTGTACAATGCAGATTTCACTTGTAAAGCGTAGGTGTAACTTTTACTTATACTTTTCCTCCCACAGGAAGCTTCTCTCTGTCTGTCAGGGATTATGACCCTCTACATGGTGATGTTATTAAGCACTACAAAATTAGAAGTCTGGACAATGGGGGTTATTACATCTCTCCACGCATCACTTTCCCCTGTATCAGTGACATGATTAAGCATTATCAAAGTAAGTAAGAACTGCAGGTCAGACAAAATAAAACATGTTTATTATGATAAGTGCACAAAGCAGCAACGGTGGGCTCAGACATGCCAACGATCAGGAGGAGGATGGCATAGGACTGGGCAACATTTTATTCTGTCATACACAAGGTCACCATGAGTCAGAGCTGACTTTGACGGCAACCAGCAACAACAATGTTTAGCACTGTTTTTATATTAAAATGTTTGATGCATCATATTTCTTTTGAGTAAAACTGGACAGTGGTTTTCCCTTAAATATAGATTCAAAATAAGATTTGAGGTTTGAGAATAATTATCCGAGTCCTTCCCACCAAGTCCATGCTGTTTGAGAATTCACAGTCAAATATTACCAAGAAAGAAATGAATATTATTTGCACATAGTGTGAATTTTTATAATGTGTCTTCAAATATCTGGAATAAGAATGGAGACTTTCAGGTCTGTGTCTTTGTGTGTATGTGTCTGTATATGTATAAAAGTAATACATACTCTGATAAAACAGAACAAAAATAACAAGAACATGAAAGAGTTTAAAAGTGGCACATCAGTGTGCCTCTGCCCTGGTGCCGCTCTCCAGCCCTGGTATGCTGCTCCCATGACTAGTCTTTAGGTTCATTCTCTCTGTGGCTGAAATTGGTAGCAGTGGGCAGCTGTTGCTACTGCTTATTTCTACCACCTGCTCTCAGGGACTGTACATTACAACTTTGTTTAAGCTTAGGTCACATATTTGGAGAAAGCAAAGCATTCTAGGTTTTGTGGACTCCTCCCAGGCCCTCTATCATCCTCACTTGTTTATTCATCCAGCACATGTGTTGAGTGCCTGCTGGGCTCTGGCTTTGTCCTGGGGGCTGGGTGACCATTGGTGTGCAGACCCAGTCCCTGCCACTGTGCCCCGTAGAGCAGACATGGCTTGGTAATCCCAAACTCGTTGTATTCAGTGTGACAACCTGTCAGCCTTTGCTTGTTTGTTCACTTTGTAGTTTTTCTTTTATGTATTAGCAGTTAAAGTAGTTGCTGTAAAATCGATTTCGACTCATGGAGATCTGATGTGGTACAGAGTAGAACTGTGCTTCATAGAATTTTCAAGGCTGTGACCTTTCGGAGGCAGATTGCCAGGCCTTTCTTTTGAGGTGCCTTTGAGTAGGTTTGAACTGCCAACCTTTCAGTTACCAGTCACACGCTTAACTGTCTGTGCCACCCAGGGACTCCCTTATATTAGCAGTACTAATTTTAAATTGTCTTTTCATTTAAGAATGTCAAAAGTTAGGTGAAAGATACCCCATAAGCATTGTAGGCTCATTGACTATGGCAGGCTGGAAATTATAAGACTAAGTTTTGTTTTAAGTTACCGTTTTAAGCTTTCTCTTCCCTTTCATGTTAGAGCAGTCGGATGGCTTGTGCAGAAGATTGGAGAAGGCATGCATTAGTCCCAAACCACAGAAACCGTGGGATAAAGATGCCTGGGAGATTCCACGGGAGTCCATTAAGTTGATGAAGAGGCTGGGTGCTGGCCAGTTTGGAGAGGTCTGGATGGGTGAGTGCGGGACTATGAGTGTGTCTGCCCTGGAGGTGACAGCTGGAGAACAAGGGGATCAGACCAGTTCTGTCCATTTTCTTTCCTCACACTAAATTGGTCACAGTCATCACTTCTTTTGCTTCCCTCTGTCCGGGAGCTGGTCTGCAGAGGTTTCACAAACCTATGTGCTTAGACTCTTCCCCTCCCTTCTGATTTAGTAATTCTCTTTTAGGTTAATGTTTATGCGGAGGAGGGCGGTGGGCATTTATCCTGATCGTCCTGTCTACTCTCTGGTGGTTCTCTCCTCACCCGATTCTCTGACACACGTGTTAATTTCAAGAAATTTACTTTCATCTTGGGGAAAGGTACATTTGGGTTTAGGACCCTCCTTACCAGTGGGCTTAATAGGAAGCCTCACATTTATTGCAATTTGAGGGTTGCCAAGAAAGTTCTTCAAGTGCTCAGAGTTCCACCATTAATGGATCACTCCTCAGCGTAAGTATTGCCTTCTCACGCTGGCAAGAAGTACACCAAAAATTGTTGCAGTGGTTTTCTCTGGGTGATTCTATGCTCATCTGCCTTTTCTAACACTTTTATAGTGAATCTGAATTTCTTCTGTGATAAGAGTAGAGAAACAACTTTTTTATTTTAAAGTGTCACATTTATTCCTAGTTCTAATTAAAAATGCAGTTACTTCTGCAAGAGTAGCATGTCAGGTCACACAGATCTTACTGGGTCACTCTGTCTGTGACAGCTTTGTGTGAGTGAAAGCAGACAGCGTTTCTAAAGTGAGAAGGGGCAGACGGCTTAAGAAAACATCCGGCCCCAGCTGACCAGAAACTAAAGACTCTCCCAGCATGTTGCAGCCAAGTGGAAATTTCACTTCCCCATCCAGAGATCTATAAAGGAGAGATTTCTTCCTCCACAATTTTGATGCCTGGAGTCACAGCCTTGTCCACTTTCTCTTGTTGGTGCCACTTTGGCCCAAGTGTCTTTAAACATAGCAGATACTGACACAGCATATAATGGAGTGTGGCTGCACTGTGGGTAATATACAGAATTCAGGTCAATTGTAAGAACTCCATCTCACATTCTTCATTTTGATTGGCATCTTTCAGAACCAGTCAGCAGTACATTTCAGATACATTTATTTCCTGGCAACCACCGATCTGCATTCTGTGTCTATGGATTTACCTGTTCTGGATATTTCATACAAAGGGAATCATGCAATATTTGTCCTTTTGTGTCTGTTTGTTCACTCAGCATAATGTTTTCAGGGTTCCTCCATGTTGTACCATGTATCAGAACTTCATTTCTCTTTATGGCTGAGTAATATTCCATTGTATGGAATTATATGGATATGAAACATTTTGTATATCAACTTATTTGTTGATGGACACTTTGGTTGTTTCCACTTTTTGGCTACTGTGAAGAATGCTGCAGTGAACTTTGGTGTACAAGTATCTGTTTGAGTCCCTGCTTTCAGTTCTTTTGAGTATATACCTAGCAATGGACTTGCTAGGTCATATGGTAATGCTATGTTTAACTTTTTGAGTAACCACCAAATTGTTATGTATATATATTTTGGGTGACATGGATGAACCTGGGAAACACTATGTTAAGTGAAAGAAGCAGGTCACAAAGGACCACATATTGTATGATTCCATTTATATAAAATGTCTAGAATAGGCAATTCTATAGAGACAGAAAGTAGATTAGTGGTTGCCTAGGATTGAGGGGAGTGTGAGTCAGGTATAAATGGGGAGTGACTGTTAATGGGTACAGGGTTCTTTTGATGGTGATGAAAATGTTCTAAAATTGATTATGGTGATGGTTGCACAACTCTGAATATACTAAAAACCAATGAATTGTATACTTTAAATGGGTGAATGGTATGGTATATGAATTATATTCAATAAAGTTAATGTGTATAAAAAGAAATAAAACAGAAATCCCAGGCTCCCTTTACCCAGTTTCCCCGAATGATGACATCTCACAAAACTATAAAACCAAAAACCTAACTCGTTACGGTCGATTCCAACTCATAGTGAGTGACCCTACAGGCAGAGTAGAACTGCCCCATAGGGTTTCCAGGGGGCAGCTGGTGGATTCGAACTGCCAGCCTTTTGGTTAGTAACCAAATGCTTAACTGCTGCACCACCAGAGCTCCTGCAAAACTATAAAACCAAACCCATTGCTGTGGAGTCGATTCTGACTCATAACGACCCTGTAGAACAGAGTAGAACTGCCCCATAGGGTTTCCAGGGAGCGCCCAGTGGATTTGAACTGCTGATCTTTTGGTTAGCAGCCATAGCTCTTAACCACTACACCACCAGGGTTTCCTGCAGAACTATAGTACGATATAATTATTAGAATATTGACATTGATAGTAGTTTATCTTTAATTGTGCTTTTCTCTTTCTGGAGTCCCTGGGTGATGTAAATAATTAACGCACTTGGCTGCTAGCTGAAAGGTTGGAAATTCAAGTCCACCCAGAGTCACCCCAGAAGAAAAACTTGGCAGTCTACTTCTGAAAAATCAGCCATTGCAAATCCTATGGAGCACAGTTCTCCTCTGACATACATGGGGTGTCCATGAGTTGGAACTCTTCTAGTCTTGTATTAAGGAAGAAAGGGAGAGGAAGAGAGAGAGAGAGAAAGAGAAAGAAAAAAGGAAATTTTTTAAAGAGAAGAAAAAAATAGAAAATTTTGACCTAGGATCTTTTGCTGCTATCGTTCTGTGAGTTTGGCTGTTAGCGAGGGGGCTCCTCCTTAGCTATTGTAATAACTTCAGTATGTTGAATGCATTTGACAGAGGAATGATGGCACTAACATCAAAGCAATAGCTATCAGTGATATTATGTTACAAATCACAGGTCAGAGGATACCCCCTACCTGACTGTGTGTTTGGGTCTCGTTTCTAAGAATTGTTCAAATAACAGTTTGTGAATTTAGAGCCCCCAAAGGTTAGTTTTTATTTCTCAGGGGATAACCAGGCTAGCTTTTCTCACTGATAGAAAAAAGAATAGCCAATTAAAATTTATAGCACTGATAACTAAGTATTTTTGTTAAGCCTGAAGAATCAGTCAAAAAAAGTTTTTTAAGCCTGAGGAATTATTCATAAACTACCAGTAACATTTTACGGTCTGAATTTTTTTTTTTGCCTGAAAATATAGCCAACAAATACTAGGAAGTGTCCTGTTCTTTGGGAGAAGAGGTGGGTGGGGTTAAAAGACAGAGGTGTTTCTGCCTCAAGCTGTTTCCTCTTGTTGTGTGATCCTCTTGACTTGTGACTAGGGTGACACGTTTTCCTCTGTGGATTATTATATTCCGAGGGAACTGACTACACGGTGGAGCTAAGTATGATGTTTCCTCTTACCCCTTGGTCTATGAAGAGACTTTGGGGAAGAAAGGATATTTATTTTGAATTCAGTTTTGCTTGATAAATTCTCATTTGAACCAACTGCACTGAAAATTAATCACCAGCCAACTCCAAAATCAACTACATACCTTTTTTTGTAAACCAGCTTCCATTTTGTGGTACACAACTGGTACTGCTAAAGCACTTTTTAGCAAGCTAGTCACAGCTGAAACTGGAAATTCCTTATTGCCACATCCACATTCTTTAACTGAGGCAAAGTGGCACTCTACTAGAAATTCTTTACTACCTTGAAAAGATTTTAAAATAAAACCATTGTCCACCTATAATGATAAGCCAAATCTCAATGACTAGGGTAATTAAACCTGCAAACTAGTGGGGACTGTTCTAGTAAAGTAGGACTTGATCCATAGTACTGAAAATCAACAGCATGCCTGCCATGCACGCATGAAAACCAGCCCTGTTGTTCCAACGTCACAGCCCTCCAAGAGACCATTTCCTCGGAAGCATTTCCTTGGAAGCTGCATGTCATCATGGAGCTGTGTCAGACACAGCTGTTTTATTCATTGTTCATCCCAGACTCCTTATCAGCATTTTAAATGTCTTTAGCAGCTACAATATTTCCTGATAATTTCTTTTCTTAACTTTGGAAAGCATTTTTCTTTTCTTCTTCCTTCACCCATAATTTTATGTTATGCAAATGAACTCTATCGCTTTTATGATGACAAAGAGAACAGGTTTTATTTTGGTTTTCTTTAGCTTTTATTACTATGAAATATAACAGATAGATGGAGAAATGCATACAACACAAATATACAACTTAACAAATAATTATAAAGTAGAAACCTATGTTGTGATGGCTGAGATCACAACGGGAAATCTTGCCAGCACCCAGAAGCCCCTGCATCCCTCCCCGACCGTAGTCCTTCCTATTCCCCAGAGGCAACGGCTGTTCTGACTTTGGTGATAATCCAAACCAAAAACCAAACCTACTGCCATCAAGTCAATTCCAACTCATAGCTAGGGTATCCAAGGTTGTAAATCTCTATGAAAGCAGACTGCCACATCTTTCTCCCATGGAGCCGCTGGTGGTTTCGAACTGCCCACTTTTTGGTTAGCAGTCAAGCACTTTAACTACTGTGCCACCAGGGCTCCTTTGTTGATAATATCCTGACCTTTTTTTTTCTTTTAATAGTTTCACTTTTGTAAGCATCTCCAAACAATATAGTTTAGTTTTGCCTGTTTTTAAACTTTACATAAAGTAATCATGCCCAATGTACTCTTTTGTGTCCCGCTTCTTTTACTCAGCATTACATTTGTGAGATCTCTCCCTGCTTTGGGGTATAGCTTAATTCATTCACTGCCTTGCTGTATAGTATTGTGTTGCTGTATAGTATTGTGTTGTGAATATAACAGCCCACCTATTCATTTCACTAATCATTGATGGAACTGGAGTTGTTCCCAGTTTTTGGCTATTGTCAGTGATGCTGCCGTGCAGGGATCATGGTGCAAGGGTACTTGAGTTTCTCTATGGGGAATAGCTAAGAGTGGATTTGCTGGGTCTTAAGGTATATGACTCTTCAACTCTACCAAATACTGCCAGGTTATTTTCCAAAGTGATTGTCCCAGTTTAGACTCCCACCAGCAATGTATGAGAGTTCTCGGTGTTCCATTTCCTAACCAGCAGCATTGCACCTTGAAGGATATGGGCCCCAGAGCAACACAGCCTGAGTGTGGTCACTCAAGATGTGTGCACTTGAAAGAAGGTCGCTCTGTCAACATTCTTCTAGGCCCCTTGGGATACTGTTAAAGGCAGGAAGTTTAAAATGGAATTTCAGTGATGCTCAGGAAAAGGAGCCCTGGTGGCACAGTGGTTAAAGTGCTTGGTTGCTAACTGAAAGGTGGGTGGTTCGAACCCACCAGCTGTTCCTCCAGAGAAAGATGTGGCAGTTTGCTTCCACAAAGATTACAGCCTTGGAAACCCTATGGGGCAGTTCTACCCTGTCCTGTAGTGTCGCTATGAGTCAGAATCAACTCAATGGAAATGAGTTTTTTGTGTTTTGATGCTCAGAAAACAACAGCATGAAACAGGGCTTAGGGGAGCTGCCCCAGCTTCCAACCAAGGGACAGGTCTCTCACTAGCACTTGATACTGGCAGACGTTTTTGTTTTTGTTTTTATCATGCTGTGTGGTAGTTTCTCCTATGGCTTTATTTGTATTTTTCTAATTATTTATGAGACAGAGTGCCTTTCACATGTTTATTAGTCATTTGGATTTCTTCTTTTTGAAATGCCCACACAAGCCTATTTTTCTTTTTTTTTTTAAATTGATTTGTAGGAACTACTTATATATTCTGAATACTAGTCCTTTGTCAGGTATCTGTATCCCAGAGAGTGTATTTTCTTGCTGTGCCTTCATTCTAACCTATGGATATACTTATGTAATTGAGGACCTATTTTTAAACTTGAAAAAAAATTATAACAGAATCCTCTTGATTCAAATGTAATATTAAAGAGCTTTTGTTGGTGTGGTTTATTTTAAAGTTAATTACTCTTGAGAGTTACAGAAAAGGACATATTTTTGTGATTATGCATTTAGATTGCAAATCAACTTAATGTATTTATGATTCCATTATTTTGTGTAGGTTTTGGCTTTTTAAAAGGGCCTATGGCAATTTTTGTCAGCTTTCTATTACTACTGTTGTCTCCATATGTTCTAACACTGATTTTATATCACACTCCTTGTTGTTCTCTAGGACATTGCAAGCTACTACTAAGTACAAACCAAAGTGGAATATAAAAGGAAAAATAGAGAAATCAGAAGAAAAGTTTTAACTAAGGTTGAATTCACTGTAAACTAATAATTTTTCTTGCCCATTGTAGAAATAAAAATATATATTTTTCTTTTTTAATAATTCCTTTTGGAAAAAAGGATACACAATCATTCACAAATTTAATCAAAATAGAAAAGCACAAAAGAAAGTAAAAATCACCCTAAAATATACTACCTAGAGGTAATCATCACTGGCATTTTACTGAGCACACTTCCAGGTATCTCTGTACGCATACGCATACAGATAATTACGTAACTTAGAAAAGGGGAGTATACATTTGCGCATCTCCATTTCTCAGCAGTTGCATTATTCTTTGGGCAGGTACAGCATACCAGGTAGAGGTAGCCTGCAGGGAGAGATGTGTGGTACCATCAGCTTGCGCCTCCACCCACCTTTTTCCCACACTTCTAAGAGAAGTGGGGCAACAGAGAGGAAAGAAGAGGAGAGAATGATCATTTCTCTTCCTGCTTGGCCAAATTACTGAGAAAAAGGCTTTTTCAGGAGGAAATCAGGCTTAGAATTAAGTACTTCATTGAGGCAGGTCCCTGAAAAGTGGTGCATTGGGGGAAATCTATTAGTCTATCCTAAAGTCTGCTTCCGGGGTCTTCAGTTCCATGACGAGTGAAAAGATATGTGAAAACATGTCCTGTAGTCAAGAACATGTGGACATGTAGAGGTTAAAAAAGTTAGGTAGGGTTTTCAGGGAAGAACTTCTTGGAGGCCTTAGATGGGAGTGCAGATAGATACTCAGCTTTCTGGGGCGGGAGATAGCACGGGGCTTCCCAACCTCTCAAACACTACATCCTTTTTCATGGAGAATCGCCCAAATCTGTTGTCTTTGAAAACTTTTCAAAATGCTTATTCTACTAGCTTAAAGTCAGTAAATGTAAGTAATGGATACTTTTTTTTAATATACACTTTGAAAATATCAATTGTTTCTGATTATAAAATAATACATATTCATTGTCTAAAATTTGGTAAATAGTTAAAGGTATAGCGGACAAAGGAGTCCCTGGGTGGTGCAAACAGTTAATGTGCTCAGTGGCTAACTGAAAGTTGGAGGTTCATGTCTACCCAGAGGCACCTAGGAATAAAGGCCAGGTGATTTACTTGAGAAAAACAGCTGTTGAAAACCTCATGGAGCACAGTTCTAATCTGACCCACATGGGGTTACCATGAGTTGGACTTGACTCCTCAGCAACTTCTTTTTTTTTTTTTTATGGTAAACAAAATTTAAATTACCTATAATCACACCATCAGGGAAAGCCAAAATTTGCATTTTAGTGTATTTTCTTCCAGACCATTGTCTGTAGATGTGTTTTAGATACAAAATATACTTATATCTTTAAGTAGGGCTTGTAGTGCGTGTGTGTGTGTGTGTGTGTGTGTGTGTGTGTGTGTGTGTGTGTGTGTGTGTATACGGGATTATAGAGTATGTAGAGTTTTTTGTTTGGGTTTTTGTTTTTTAGTCTTGGATAAATAATATTTCATTAATAAGAAGAAAATTTTGGTCCCATGATGGAATGTAAATAGAATTTTTGAACTATTTTTTCTTAAAAACCTTTTGATTTTAGAATAAGTTTTGATTTTTACAGAAATATTCTAAATAATATTGTTCAGGGAATTCCTATACACCCTTCACAAGCTTCCTGTGATGTGAGCACTGTACAGAATTTATATAATGTTGTTTCTATCTAGAAATTTTCTCTGAACTCTGCATCTACAAAGTGAGAAGACTTTTTAATGCTATTCTGTCTGATGAAGCAGGCCCTGCTTTTTTCCCCCCAGGTTACTATAATAACAGCACAAAAGTGGCTGTGAAAACCCTGAAGCCGGGCACCATGTCAGTGCAGGCCTTCCTGGAGGAAGCGAACCTCATGAAGACGCTGCAGCATGACAAGCTGGTGCGACTCTATGCTGTGGTCACCAAGGAGGAGCCCATCTACATCATCACGGAGTACATGGCCAAAGGTGAGCATGCCGCCAGGCGCCACGGCCTTTAGACACTTACAGATGAGTGTGGCTTGTAAAACCAAAAAGTGAAATAGATAAATGAACAGAGAATATGCAAGTGGTTGTAATTTTAAAACAACATACTCACGACTGAAAAATTAGAAAATACAGGAAAGCAAGCATTTTCATAAACCTACTCAGCAGAAGTAACCAGTGTTATAAAATTGATACGTAGTCTTCCTAGTTTCTGTGTATTTGTCTGTACATACACGTTAGCCCTGAAAATAGTACCTAGTTCATAATACCAAAACCTGTTGCTTTTGAGTCAATTCCGACTCACAACGATCCTATAGGACAGAGTAGAACTGCCCCACAGGGTTTCCAAGGAGCGGCTGGTGGATTCAAACTGCCAGCCTTTTGGTTAGCAGCCGTAGCTCTTAACCACTGCGCCACCAGGGCTCTGCCAGTATATAGTAGGCTCTCGTAAATATTTGTTGAATAAAATAATATATATTTCAAATATGAGTATTTTTGTTGTATACCTAGTGAGTTCTCAGAATTCTAAAAGTAGTTCATTTTACTTCTTAGCATTATCTAAATGTTCAGAGTGTCACTTTAAAATGTTCATATTTTTAAAACTTGCCAAGATTAAATTCCCATGGAATCACTGTTATGGAAGAGGTTTCAAGCAATCATCTTTCCCCCATTCTAATCAACATCAGATAAGTGGGGTATGAATCACTGTCCTTCTTCCTTTGTCTACCTTCAGTCCAGGAAAGATAGTAAGAAGCTAATACATGATTTTTTTAAAAAAAGTCTTCAGAAGGAAAGGAAGGAAGAAAGAAGAAAACAATTTTTTTTATATCCAGAATTAAAAATTATCTCATGCATAATGGAAATTATACTGTGATGTCATAACTGAAAAGGTTACATGGAGTCATTTTCTTATTTAATACCTGCTACTATTTCAGAATATCAGTTACTCAGAATCTTTCAAAAAATAGGCATTGTTTGAAAAAAAGGGACCTAGCCTTTATGGCTTAGGTTGCTCTGGCCCAGAAACCGGGCTCAGAGGCTGATGTTCTGTAGGGATTTAGTAAATATTAGTTGAATTAATTAGTTACTATTATTCTTACTCATAAATGTAAATATGAGTTTCTCCTGCTAACACCAACTAAGATATACTGAGCCCTTGTCAGAATTCTCTCATTTAACCTTGGCAACAGTCTAAGAAGTAAGCACAATCGTTCTCATGTCATGGACGAGATAGTCTAATATTTATTGAGCACTTATGCCTGCCAAACACCAACATGCCTTAAATCCATCATCTGATTGCATCCTCACAATAACTCTGATCAAGGTACTAGACCATGTCCACCTAGAAAGAGCCTGACACGTGGAGGAGTTCAGTAACTTGTGTAAGGCCACACTTAAGGTTGATACTTTACATTCTAGGGAAGGGGGCAGGGTGGAATATTTTAGAGAAGAAGCCATGATGAAGTTTGTTGGCACAGCCCCTCTTAGGTGGGTGTCACCTTTTCCCAAAGCCTAGTTCATTCATCAGTTACTCATTCCGCACCTACTGCCGGTGCTGACTTCTGTTGCTACAAACAGATAGAAGCAAGCTTTAGCACAGCGCCTGCTAGGGACAGGCCCTCAAACTTGCTGGGTTTCTGTTCCAGGGGAGCTCCCTAAAGATCAGGTGTTGCAGTAAGTGTATCAGAGTGGCAGGTACAAAGTGCTCTGAAAATCATTGCTTATTAGATACCTGTAGGAGAAAAGTAGTATCCAACGCTGCCCTTTCTTACCTGGAGCACATACACTACTTTTCACATTAGATCAAAGGTAACAGAAGGGGACTGGCTTTGACCCCTCAGGAAAAGCTTCTGTAGCCATACAGCATTGCAGAACCAATCAGTTTTATAGATCCCTCACTCCCATCCTAGTAGCAATGGGTGGTGCAATGGTTAAGCACTCAACTGCTAACCAAAAGATTGGAGGTTTGAGTCCACCCAGAGGTGCCTCAGAAGAAAGGCCTGGCTATCTACTTCCCAAAAATCAGGTATGGAAAACCCTATGGAGCACAGTTCTACTCTGACACACATGGGCCGCTATGAATCGACTCAGCTAGACAGCAACTAGTAGTAGTGATGATCATCTCAATTTTGTTTTGAGTCTTTTCCTTTATTTGTTTGAGTTCCACTAACTTGTTCTAACTCTACATGCAGGCAGTTTGCTGGATTTCCTGAAGAGCGATGAAGGCGGCAAAGTCCTGCTTCCAAAGCTAATTGACTTTTCTGCTCAGGTGATGTATGGAAAACCCATGTGGGCTCTAAGCAGCAAGGACCTCCTCACCTCAAGTTCATGATGAAATTATTGTTCGGGGAAAAGGCTTTTCCTTTGGGTGTTTTCCAATAGCAGTCATGAGGAAAAGGTGTTGAAAAGTCCCCTCCCTGGGAAGATGATGATGGGAGTTTCATGGGGAATGTGGGTACATGTACCTATGTACCTAGTTTGACTGGGATGTCATCTTCTATAAGACCAGTTAACCTCTCTGTTTATCATATTCATCTCCCCACAAGTGATAGGGTAAATGCAGCAGAATTGATCACTTTGCTGGGCATTTTAGAAAAGGAATTTCATGCAGTTTAAACTCCAGTTGCCTTCGAGTTGACCCCAACTCATGTTGACCCTGTGTGTGTCAGAGTGGAACTGTGCTCCATAGAATTTTCAATGACTCATTTTCCAAAGTGCCTCTGCACATTGACCACTTGCACCACCCAGGGACTCTGGTTTAAGTAACAAAAAACCCAAACCCATTGCTGTTGAGTCGATTCTGACTCATAGCAACCCTGTAGGACAGAGTAGACCTGCCCTATGGGGTTTCCAAGGAGCCACTGGTGGATTCGAACTGCCGACTTTTGGTTAGCAGCCATAGCTCTTAACTGCTGTGCCGCTAGGGCTCCTGGTTTAAGTACCATACCTCTTAAATGATGCATAAACTTGTTAAAAAACACTCGTTGCCATTGAGTTGATTCCAACTCATAGTGACCCTCTAGGGCAGAGTTGAACTGCCCCATAGGGTTTCCAAGGAGTGGCTGGTGGATTCGAACTGCCGACCTTTTGGTTAGCAGCCAAACTCTTAACCACTGTACCACCAGGGCTCCTAAGTGATGCATATGGTATTTTTGTCCCTAATCTGATGTACTGATACTTGTAAGTTATTAGTATTCTTGAAAACAGAGGAACTGTATTCCTTCCTTTCTCTACCCCTTCTCACTCCTTCTTGTTTTAGATATTAAGATTCTTAGAAATATTCATTGGTGATATATCTAGCATCAGCCTAGGAGTTGCAAATTTGTTTACTTTGGAATGACACGTTTCCTGAGGTATATTTAAGGGCAGAGACAACTTACCTAGAAACACAGTAATGTACATGGTATATCAAGGAAAATGTACATTTGCATGGTGCCAGCTATTGACTTTTAATAGTTTCATTGTATCCCTCAGTCACATTCAGTAATTTGATTATTGTGTTTCTCAGTATTGGCCGTGGGTCATTTGTATTGGGAATGCTGCCATAAAGCCCAACATATCTTTGCATATAAAATGGGAATGGTAATTCCTGCTTCAAGAAGGCGTTGTTGATGGTCAAGTCAAATGAGCTAGCATGTGCAAACACACTTCAGAGCCAGTTGGTGGAAGCTAAGAAAACCTTCAAGAGTTGGCCTCCATCATTCCAGTGATGGTGTGTGATGGTGCCCTTCTGCTCAGCACCCACCTCACCCACCACAACTTGGTGAACTTAGTAGGTTCCTTGTCCAAGCAGGAGATTCAGATGTGACCGGAGCTCTAGTATCTAACATGGAAAGAAGAATATTCATCTCCCAACGAGTGACAGGGAAAATGCAGTGGAATTGACCACTTTGCTGGTCAAAAGCAGCGGTTTCAGTTACTGTGATTGGTCAGAACGCTGGGAAAGGGCCCAGCCACCCTGCCTTTTTAACCCTTTCCTCAACCTCTGCAAGCTGGCCCCTGAGGGACTCCCTGGGACCCCAAGGCTCCAGGACCACGGTGTGAAAACCACTGCTCTATAGTAAGGGGAGAGATGACGTGGATGGGTGCAACTGTATATACTGTGTGGGTAAGGGGTCAGGAAGTGGAGAAAGCTGGCATCTGTAAACTCGTATCACACTTGACACAGATCAATGAGGCTCTTCTTGGGGTGGAGATTTGGCGGCCCCTATTGGGCACAGTGGAGGAGCATAATGAGGTTTGTGACATCTGCCCCTCAGAAGGGGAAGGGGCCGACAGAGATATGCAAGGTGGGACATGGGGCCAGCAGGGCCTGACCCAGATGAGAGACTGCAAAGTTGAAGCTGTTCCAGTTGGCCTGAATGTCTGATCTTTCCCTTGGATTCTAGAAATGACACACATACAGAATGTGCACTATACCTGGAGAAGGACTTTATTTTGTCTCAGGGCTTTTTTGTATTTGATTTTGTATAGTTTATTGTCTTAGTTATCTAGTGCTGCTATAACAGAAATACCACAAGTGGATGGCTTTAACAAACAGAAGTTTATTCTCTCACAGTTTAGGAGGCTATAAGTCTGAGTTCAGGGTGCCAGCATCAGGGGAAGACTTCCTCTCTCTGTTGGCTCTGGGAAAAGGTCCTTGTCATCAATCTTCCTTTGGTCTAGGAGCTTCTCAGCGCAGGGACCCTGTACTGTGTACTCCTGGATCTTCTTGCTTGGTGGTGTGAGGTCCCCTTGTCTTTCTATGTGCTTCTCTCTCTTATATCTCAAAAGAGATTGACTCAGGATACAACCTAATCTTGTAAATCGAGTCCCGCATCATTAACAAAACTGCCTCTAATCCTACCTCACTAACATCATAGAGGTAGGATTCACAACACACAGGAAAATCACATCAGGTAACAAAATGGTAGACAGTCACACAATACTGAGAATCAGGGCCTAGACAAGTTGACACATTATTTTGGGAGACTCAATTCAATCCATAACACTTATCTCATAAGACATTATTTTGACATAGTCATAGTTTTTAAGGTCCAAGTCAAGGCCTATGTATCTATTCTTTTTTTTTTTCGGTGTGACTTAAAACTACACACATTTATTCATGTATTCTTTCATGGTTCTGGAGGCCAGAAGTCTAAAATTAATTTCACTGGCCAAAATCAAGTCGTCAGCAAGGCCGTCTTCCCTCTAGAGGCTCCAGGGGAGAATCTGTTTCCTTACCTTTTCCAGCTTCTGGAGGCTGTATAGCTATTCTTTAATGTTAAATAATGTAACTTTGCAAATTACTACAAATAGGTAAGTTTTCTCTAACTTAGAAATAAGTTGGGAAAAAGTTGCTTTCTAACCCTTTGTAGCTTTAGCTTGCGAGAGGCTAGCATTGACCATGACTTTCACATTATAGGTTCAGCTAGCTTCAGTTGTCCCCTTGTCAGCTGGGAGGGGCCTGGGTCCCTTGGTGACAGGAGGGGCCAGGGCAGTCCAGGCCACCACCACTGGTCTCTGTCCAAGCCCAGTCACTGTCCACCTGACCCAGGCCCCTCTCCTTGAAGTGGCCACTTGGTAGAACTGGTAGAACATCTGGTTCAAGTGCATTGACTGTGACAGTGTCAGCAGGAGAGACAGTGTGTCAGCAGCATGCACAAAGTCCCAGAGCACTAATTCACTTTAATTTATGACGTCGAACTGTCTCCGTCTGAGTTCATCTTTGTTCACAGCTCAAGCCTCACTAGACTCTTCTGCAGTCCTTTCTTCAGGGTGAAGCTCATGAGGCTACCTGCTGCCCCACCGTTGGTTATTACTTGTTTCATTTGCTTGTGGCTTTTCTTAGTAAACATGATGAGATGAGCTTGACCTTGGCAACAAGGAGTGGGGGCTGTACACTTCAGGCTCAGTCTGAGATCACACACTTTACACACTCAGTTTCTGTTACGTATACCTGATACCTGGCCCCACGGAAATGCAGAGAACTCCCCGTATGATTGGTATTACCCAACATGTCTCTGTCTTCTGAGTTACCAGTTGCCATCGAGTTGATTTTGACTCATGGCAACTCACGTGTGCCAGAGCGGGACTGTGCTCCATAGAGTTTTCATTGGCTTATTTTTCAGAAATAGATCACCAGGCCTTTCTTTCGAGGTGCCTTGGGATGGACTTGAACCGCCAACCTTTCAGTTAGCAGCGAAGTGCTTAAACGTTCGCAGCACCCAGGGACTCCTCTTTCTGAAATGATCTCCCCCTACAAAGAAGGCCAGCTTTGTATTTGTCAGCTTTTCCTCTCTATCATGTGTCACTAATGAACTTTGTCACTTTTCCACACTGAATAACATGAGAACAGTCAATATTAGTAACTCCGCCCAAGGAGACACAGGGTACCTGGTGCCCAGATGCTTAGGTCATCCTGCCTTTCCTATAGCTTTCCCCACTTTACTAATTAGAGTGGAACTAAGATCCAGCAGCCGAAGGATTATATAAGTCCACTTAGTGTTTGAGCTCTAACTAAACAATTCATAGGCTGTAAAACATGTTTATGCTCGCTTTTCCACAAGCATTGTCAGAGCATCCAAGAGTTGGGAAGCTGAGTGTTCACAGAGGCTATAAAGCCAGCACTTCTCAGCAGTGGGAGATGGGTTGTTGGGAGTAAAAGAGGCCAGTTTTCTTCATCCCAGCCCCAGGAGAAGAAGGCAGCATGGGTGCGGGGCAGCTCTGCAATGCTCCCACTGCTCTCACCTGGCCTCCTCTTCCCTCTCCCTGTGACCTACTTCCTGTGCTCTTCCCCTTCCGCCCGAACCCCAGTTGAGACAGGAAGTGGGTAGAGTGCACATGACAGCCTCGCAGTTCGTGGGAGAGTTGATATGATCACTTCCTGTCTCGTGATGAGTTCTCAGAGGCTTTTCTGCATCTAGTGGATGCCCCACTCTCCATCAGACCCACCACTTGGCTCAGCTCAGCCCTCTTCTCCTCCCTTTCCACTTGATGCTGCCTTCTTAGGAAATCCTGACAAATGCAGGGCTTTTCTGCTTCTGCTAAGTTAAGCAATCATATACTTTTTGTGCTGAAATAAGAAAATTGCCCTTTTTCAAAGGAAGCTTGACATTTTCAGAGAAGAGAGACTGCATAATTCCCTCCCAGCCTTTGCCACACATAAGAAGAGAAAAAAACTTGAAAAGAGAAGGAGGTTGAAATCTGTGGGCACGTCCTTCAGCAGAAGGTAATATGAAATTGTAGACTTGAGCCCATTTTACAGACGAAGAGAGTAATGCCCAGAGA